GATCGAACTTATGGCGGGTTTAATCGAGATAAAGCTCTTCCTGTTAGACCTCAGTACTATAAAGTCATCTCAACGAGGAAGGAAGCTAACTTGCCTTCGGTATTGCTTGCCAATGTTAGATCGTTGCGTACTAAAGTCGATGAAGTAGGAGTTGTTTCTCGTATAAACAATGTAAGTGTTGTGTGTCTGACTGAGACGTGGCTGGACGATGAAATTTCAGATTCGTATGTAAGTATACCAGGAGAATATTTCAGGAAAATGAAGTAGCGAAGGAGATAGAAAGTATATGGATTCGAATAACACCCGTGCGAGCAATTAGAACTGGTAGTACTATCCTTGTAGCATGTATTTATCACCCAACTTGGGCTGATCAAGATCAAAATTCATTACTGTACGAACATATCCAACTAAATGTGGATACTTTTCTTGGTAAACATACTTCTGGATTAGTTATAATAACTGGTGACTTTAACCCTACTTCTACTGGATTTCGGCCAGCCGAAGTTACACGTGCATGCTCTTTAAAACAGCAAGTGACTTTCCGTACACGGGATTCTGGCATTTTGGATTTGATTTTTACAAATAAGTCAGAATTATATGATACACCAATTCAATTGCCCAAAATTGGAAATAGCGACCACTACACCGTACTGATAACTCCCAAACAGCATCTAGGGCGGAAAATTGATAACACCCAAGGATCTAAAGTGTATAGAAGAGATCTTCGAGAAAGCAATTGGAAAGCTTTTGGCTCTTGGTTGGTAAGAGAGTCGTGGCAAGATACCTTAAACGAGTCTGATTGCCAAAGTAAATATGATAATTTCATGCAGAAAATGAATAGCGCTATAGATTTGTTTATGCCTTTAAAAAGATCTAAAGTGAACAAAAGCGATAAGCCATGGATAACAAATCAAATTAAGAAATGGATTAAGAAAAGACAAAAGGCCTTTTGTCAGTATGGAGAACTCTCTAGCGAGTATAAGAAATGGCGAAATAAAATTAGGGCGAAAACGAAAACATGCAGAAGAGACTTTTATGCAAATCAGATGAACGATTTTATCGGATCAAACATAAGTAAATGGTGGAAAACAATAAAGAAGTTAATTTGTGAAGTAGCCTCCCCTCCATGGAGTCAGTACTTAATGGGGCAAACCGGACATACAACTCCGTTGGAATTAGCGAATGAAATAAACACTTTCTTTTCGGAACTGACTAGAGATTTCCAGCCTTTAGTTCAGCCTCTAGATGTCCGGGAACTATTCGTACCACCAAATTTAAAAGCCACACCCCACCAAGTACAAACAAAGCTGAATGCGGTAAACGGTAGGAAGGCTGTTGGCCCTGATAAGCTTAATAACAGAATCCTAAAAGAGTTTTCCCAAGAGCTTAGCGTCGTTCTCGCAGATATTTACAACACCACGTTAACTCAAGCCTATGTTCCTGACTTGTTAAAAGCGTCAACTATTGTTCCAATTCCCAAGATACTACCGCCAAAAACAATCGAAGAAGATCTTAGACCCATTAGCATTACATGTCAGATAAGTAAAGTTTTTGAAAGTCTAACCTTAGATAGATTAATGCCCGAAGTTGAACACCATATCGATACTAAACAATTTGCAAACAAAGGAAAATCAACTAAGGACGCCCTAGTGAGTATTCTACACAATATTCATACTGCATTAGATAATGGAGATACAGCTGTTAGGATTTTCTTTACTGACTTTACAAAAGTCTTCGACTTAATTGACCATAACATTCTGCTCGCCAAACTTGCAAAACTCGGAGTAAGCGATGTTCTAATACGGTGGATTGCAGCCTTTCTAACAAACCGTAAACAACGAGTAAGGGTAGATGGAGTCCTTTCTGAGTGGAAATATCCTAAAGGAGGAATTCCGCAAGGCACAAAGTTAGGCCCGTTATTATTTGTAATAATGGTTAACGACTTAGTTAAAAATTGGCCAGGAAGAGCAAAGTTTGTTGACGATTTAGTCGTAGTAGAAACAATCCCGCGGAACTCAATAAGTGTGATGGATTTGGTAGCAAGAGAAATTCAACAGTATTGCATGGACCATAAAATGAAGTTGAACCCCAAGAAATGCAAGGAGATGTTTGTAAATTTTATGGCAAACCCGAATATATTAAGTAGGGATTTAGTCGTTAACGGTACCCAAATAGAATCCGTTGATGTGTACAAATTGTTAGGTGTTATGCTCGGAAGTAATCTTAAATGGAATACGCAGGTTGACGACAAAACAAAAAAGGCGTGTAAAAGGTTGTATGCATTAAGAGTACTAAAGAAGGCTGGATTGCAGGAAAGGGAACTTGTTCTAGTGTATAAGTCGATGATTCGACCTATTCTAGAATATGCTGTTGAACCTGGTCTGAGTTCCCACAGTATCTAAGTGACAAGTTGGAAAGAGTACAGAAAAGAGCTCTCTGGATTATATATCCTGGTAGTGACTATGGCGAAGCATTAAAGATCTCTAAATTGGAAAGTCTTAAAGACAGGAGAGTAGACTTATGTAAGAAGTATATAAATAAACTGTAAGAAGTATATAATAAACAAATTACGTCATGGTTGACTCGTTTGTACGATTTTTATTCACTCGTTGTGAAAGATTACTAACTCACTCGTTCGCTGCGCTCACTCGTTCGTTAGTAATCTTTCACAACTCGTGAATAAAAATCGTACTCACTCGTCAACCATGACGTAATCTCTATATATCATAGTGATATTTCTAGAGTTGAGTGTCAATTGATACATTTTAAACAATTATATACTTTGTGATTAAGCAGAACCCGTAATATATCAATACGCGCTACCTAAAGACTTTTGCTTAGTACTTGATATTCTGAAAATTATTATGCCGTGACAATTGAAAGTTATATCAATGAAAATGCTATGTGTTTCAAAGTGACAACCGAGTGTCAATCGAGCACATGTTCAAACCGTTTTATATTACATACATATTTTCATGTCAAATATGCACAATCCTTAAGTGGATTTCGATAACTTACCCTTGCATTTTATTCAGCAATACCCTAGGTCGATAATTAAGCAGATAGATGTGTTTTATCCCTTGCATATAGAGCAGGTTTAATCTCTCAGCATACTTCCCTCCCCACATATCACATCTGTTTATAAGCTCATTTATAATATACTGTTCAGTCTGCTGGATTATGTTACATTTCAAAGATACTGACCACAACAAGCACAGTATTAAAGCATTATATATGCCAATGCAATTCAGTAAATATGTTATACTAAATGCTATACGATTTCCGCAAAACTGATATTCTAAAACACTCGGTAATTCAAAGAGGTTAAATATGCTTTTCATTACCTTTCAGACAATCAGTTTCAAAAGTCTTGGGACAGATGCCACAAAACCTTTGAATTTCAACAAACAACAATATCCCCCCGCCCCCTGTTCAATGTTGTGTCCCATTTCTCGTCAGGTTTGATGTGTTTTGGTTTAAGCAACATTGATTGGGGTGGGGGGAGGGGAGGGGAGCGGTATTGTGTGTAAAAAACTGTAATGATCCACTTAAAAGCTAAAACTACATGTGTCCCAACAACTTCTGAAAGTGATTGTATGCTTTTTTATAAGAACATGCAGTATATTGTCCGGGAAGTGTACATGAATTGTTGGCAGCATCAGTTCTTAAGGCTGTATGCAAGACTCTAGCTAGAGTTTTCGGGTCCTAAGATTTCCCTTATCGATAACTTCCGCGTTTTCAAAGTCAATCCTGTGGTCATAACTTGCATTTCTTGACACCTTAGTTTCTCGCAACAACGGCTCAATTTCAACCACGGTTTACCGTATACCTACACACACTGACCGCTACATAGATTTTTCATGACACCATGACGAAAAACATAAGATTAGTGCAGCCAAAACTGTAATTAATATGTCTTTGCATTTACCAAGCAACACATCATGCAAAATCCAGGAATTAAATCACGTTTGTGAAGCTCTCACACTCAATGGCTATCCCAAAAACTTGGTTACAAGAATCACTCAACAACAAAGAAATGCACCAACTCCATCTCCTAAGGAATTAGTCAGAACGTTTTTTGAATCGGTTGAAGGAAAAACACAACCCACCGGATACGCAGTTTTGTCCTACATCAAAGGCCTCACGGAACCTCTTACAAGGTTACTACAAAAGCACGACGTAGAAGTTTGCAACAAGCCAATGAAAACCCTCCAGCAAGAATTTCCATCCGCAAAACACCGACCTTCATCCGAAAATCAGACAAACGTGGTTTATCGTATACCGTGTCAAAGTTGTCCATGCAGCTATATAGGAGAAACCGGACGGTCGCTGAAGACAAGAAAATTGGAACACGTAAGAAGTGTAAAGAATCACAAGACTGGATCTAATGTAGCAAAACATGCATGGACTTATGACCACAGGATTGACTTTGAAAACGCGGAAGTTATCGATAAGGGAAATTTTAGGACCCGGAAAACTCTGGAGTCATGGCATACAGCCTTTTAACTACAACAACTGATGCTGACAACAATTAATGTACACTTCCCGGACAATATACTGTTCTTATAAGAAAGCAGTCATAGTTGACAATACACACTCATATTTCATACGCAATTATGCTAATCTTTCTGTATATACAATAATAGACTATTTATAGTGTCATTTTCAAGCTTGTGTCTTCAGATTTTCATCTTTTATTTCGGTATTTACAGAGTAGTTGTATTTTTAGCGCGGCCCATGAAACGTACATCAAAACAATGCGCTGTTTAATTAAATTGTAGGGGTCTGAAAAACCGGGTATCGATTCTGTAGGTCAAAGTACTTCCAGTGGCAAGGTTTACAGGTTCATCGATCGGGCTGTAAAATATGGCCAAGCATCAACGTAGCGCGTGTGTGCGAGTTAAAACCTGATATTTTGAAAAATTCAAAATAAATATTTCTACTCTGTGCCGTATTCAAACGAAACTTTGTGCATGAAAGCGCTTGAATACAAGACGTATTTTATTCACATTGACTCTGAAAACAATTCTGAAGAGTTTAGAAGATATTCAAGATTTTGTCTCGATATGAACTACAGAATGTTTGGCCAAGCGGTGTAATGCTTTTACGGCTTTTGACACCCCCCCCCCCCGCAGGATTACAATGGTGCTTTTCGTTTCAAAGGGGGGGGGGGGGTAAATACTCGCTGAGATATTGACAATTAGAAACAATAAAAATCGTAAAAATGTAAACCATTTACAGGCAGTACTTTATTGGCAGTGCAATTATCTACCCTGTAAATACTAAGGTAGATAGACAGTAAATGCTAAAGTAGGGTGCATTGCAAGCTAATGGGTTAATAAATGGCATTGGCAGATGTGCTTGTTAAACCATTACTGACAGTACTCTACCACTGATAAGTAAAATCGTCTGGCGGTACACTGTGTAAATTTGTCTGGCGTTAGCCAGAGTTATTACTGAAAGTAGCGTGCATTGCCAGCTAATAGGTTAGTAGACCTTAATTAATATCCATAGTACTTTTGACCCAATGGCCTCATTTTAATGTTGGTTATTTACTCGTATTCCGTGCACACAATGTAAGAGTAAGCTTGTGATTGGGCTTAAATGATGAACGAGAAACAAATATGCGCAGGAAACATATAGGGGATATAACATTCAGTGCAGGCCTGCCATGCTACCAATGATGATACGTGGAAGTGAGGCCATTGGGTCAAAAGTAAACTTCCCTTTAGAGAATTGTTTAGAAATACAAACTTTTGCATTCAGTTCATGTGACAAAAAGGCAGCACTTTCCTTGCGATAGTAACTCCTAGTTATATTTTTGCACCATAGTCTCCTAAAAAGGTCTTTTATTTTTTTAAAAAATCCATACAATTTGCTTGCGGTTTACGACTTGTATTCTTGTGTACCGCACCATACACGTATAATGTCGTCATTTTCAGGTCAGTGTGAACGCCTGAGCAGGCGTCTTGTTACATTAAAAAAATTGAGTCGTAATGTAATGCGATACCGGCCTGTCGACAAACAGCCGTAGAACTCTTTCTCGACACGTCCCTATTAGCATAAATCACTGGTGATTTATGACTTTGCAGGTTTCATGTCTTCGGTTTGGTAAGTGCTATGTAGATGAAAATACAACCATTCGATTCAGTGAAACAATATCTCCTAATTCCTATCGATAGTTTTAGTCAAATATAGTTTTAGTCAAATTGTATAGCTATTTATAACCTTTTGAGAGGTCAAGCGGTGTCATATTCCATTTTATAATACAGCATTTGTAAATTTTGAACGCTGATTGGCTAAGACCCGTGTTGATATAACTCAATGTCAACACGGAAACGTCGGGAAAATTTCTTTCTTTATGTTTTTTTGTGCCATTTTGTAAAACAAATCAAAAACATTTTTTCCGTATTCACGAGTGTTGATATAACTGTATATGAACATGGAGAATGTTTTACATTTAACAAATGTAAAACATTTTCCGTGTTGATATAAAGTTATATATTGAAAATGAGCTTTCGAGCTTTAAAGAAATAAGAATTGATTTACTATGGGAAATCGTGAAATATTGGGCAAGTTTGGTTTGAATGTTTAATGTTTATAAATTTTATTGCCTTAATTTTATTGCCTTAAAACACGGAAATGGAAGTTTATACTATGTGAATTTATATTTGTCTCTGGCAAACCCTTTAGTTAATGACTTTTTCAACGGCTTTGCTTTACAGTTGAATTGCTTTTGTCTGCATAGAACGAGATATTTTCAGTAGTTCGTGTAATTAAACGTAATTGCTTTTATGCTCTTCTTATACATTCATTTAGCACCAACAAGATGGCAACGTCGTATCTGTTAGACCATAAGCGCTTTTGGGCAAACGAGAAGTCACTGAAGACAAGAATTCTAGAAGGAAGTGACGTTATTCAGCAGAGCGACTATCTAAAGGACTTTCTGCTTCTAATTCAGTCAGATGGTTTAGAGGCGGCTTATTTAGAATATGGTGACGATGAACCTCGCCTTCCTCCTCCAGAAAGTGCCTATCGTAAAGCACCTGAAAATGTCACGTATGATTATGACGTCATTGTTGTTGGGGCAGGTATGGCAGGTCTCTCTGCTGCGTATGAATTGAAGAAAGCAGGGCTTTCAGTGATAATTTTGGAGCAAACAGACCGTTATGGTGGAAAGCTGTTCACTTACGGCCCGGAATCAGGTCTTGCACCTGGTTTATATGGCGAAGGTAAAGTGTATGTGGTTAATTAAAGTTATTGCAGTTCAAATGAGAACGGTTGGCGGAAATCTATTATAATATAGTTGTGTCTTTTCATCAAGAATACACATTTCCCTTAACAAGTTTTAACACCATACGTCGTGATCAATACCGTACAGCACAATAAAAACATGACGTTTTTGTAATACATTTCATAATTCGAAAATTTGACGTGCATGGACATTTTGGCGCTCAAAGTTGGCAATTTTTCGTGTTACCGTGAGCATAAAAGTACTGGGGCGAAAATTCCATCCAGTACTGGCGTGACGTCATTTTGAGAACACGTAAAAAACACATATGATTTACAATCTCGTTCCCCGAGCCTGCGATCGTCGGGAAGGAACGTGAGGCTCTGGGATAATCCGTTTCAGGGAAAAATTTGATTGGCCGTTGAAATGGAATGCGTAGTTCAATCTTAGCTAGGATTCCTGGCTTCCGGTGACGGATTATCCCAGAGCCTCGCGTTCCTTCACATGCAGGATCGCAGGTTCGGGGAAGAGATTGATATGATTTACTAGATTGTTTCCATCCTCGTCCCCAGGCCCAACCTCGGTCGGCCCACACAGTGGCCCTGCTTCAGGCTGTTGATCTGCGTCGGAATTCCGACGCAGAGGCTTGGTCGTACAGCATATGCATTCCTCCCTAAAAACATGGCGACCGCAATGAATGCGAGGAAGGCTTACTACAAGAAGCAATATATTTTGCACTTGCAAAAACAAATAATACTCAAATTAAGTTAAAGGAAAAACAGAAAGAAACTGCTCGTGAAATACTAAATGGAAGGGTTGTTAAATCGTTGATATACTTACCTTCCATGTTCGACTACATTAATTCGAAAAAAATGCTTAACTATTGTATAGTTTTGTTGACTTTTCTGCTTTAAGTTCGGTATTCGATAATTTTTCAAGAAATGTTCACACGCCTCCCGGTCTTAAACGGTAATTTTGAATTTAAATTGTGTTTCTTTTTAGATTTTAAATGTTAAAATCTTTTTATTCATGTCTAAACAGAGGGGCGGATCCAGCCCCAGAACTGACCGTGGCTCCTAAACCAGGGTTAGCTAGGGGGGGGGCCCTTGATGGACGAGAAATTTGTTATGTGTTTTATTAATGGTCCAAGTATCAGAAAATTTGCTCAATTTTAAGTCCTTCAAATAGGCGCTGATACTATAATTTTTGGCACCAATGCCTTTTACGAATGAATTGATTCATGCATTTAATGATTAATAAAATGATTCATGCATTTACCTAATTTGCATATTGTTACTTCACTTTTTTAAACATAGTTAAAAAATAGGTACGCAATGCGTACATGTGGCTAGCCTGGTAAACTTTAACTTCCCAAACCCTCCTCCAAACCCAGCTCCAAACCCAGAAAGCCTGCCATGCTGGTTAACTTTAATAGTAATAAGAAGACACCACGATGGTCAGAATGCGCAAATTTTCTCCCACTTGTGCGGGCTCATTTTGTCAGTGGAGTTTCACGGTATACTTGAAAAATACCGTGTCATAT